AGGTTCGACACAGAATTTTCAAATTTAATTTATACATCGAAGACGCGATCAACATCATTAAAGACAGTACAACTGTAGGGATAGATATACAGGGGGGAAAGATTAGTATGCTTAGATTAGCATCTAGCAAGGAGGAATTAGAGATAGTTTTAAGTAAAATGGAAGCGGTACTGACAGATCAGTACTGTATGAAAATAAATAAAAGTTAAACTAAAATACTAGTAGTCGTGTCGTCTTTAATAAAAAGAAGTCACTTCTATGCTAGAGAACGGTTTATTTAGAAATTCGAAAAAGGTTGTTAAAGGTGTATGTTTGGAGCGCGGCGTTGTACGGGTGCGAAACGTGGATAGTGGGCGCGGGGGAATAGAAAAGGTTAGAAGCTTTCGAAATGTGGTGTTATAGGCGAATGATGAGGATATCGTGGGTAGAAAAGGTTAAAAATGAAGAGGTATTAGAAAGACTAGGAGAACAGAGGACTCTATGGAAATCAATAAAAAATAGGCGAGATAGGTTGGTACGACACCTTCTCAGGCATGAAGATCTAGTCAGAGACATATAAGAGGCAGAAACAGGAGTTAGGAGGGGTAAAGGTAGTCTTAGGTTAGATTACTGTTCGCAAATAGTTAAGGATGTAGAATGTTTTAGTTTTAGGAAAATTCGAAGATTAGCACAGGATAGGAAAGAGTAGAGGTACGTGTCCAACCAGTCTTAGGATTGATGATGATAGTGAGGGAAAGTTAACTGAAATTAGTCTTTACTTAAAAGCCATTAAAAAGCAGTGTTTACGTAGGTCGCATGTACATGTAGGTGCCATACATCGTCAATCTACGGTCATCAAAGAAAAGTTTGGAACGACTGGCCGCACGGTTCACGCATGCGTGACTAAAAGCACGCCATATACACACAAGTATTTACGTGAAATTATCGAGCCTTCGAAGTAATCAGTACTGATGAAATTACGTTGCGTTTGATTCAAATTCCTTACTGATAATTTCCAGTTTCTGAACTGTTCAACCACCAGAACATTCAAATTTTCAATTAGAAGAAATATTTACTACGTAAAATTTAATTTTAGGAATCAGTGTCTCTCATTTGCATACTACAAGAGCACAAAATCCCGCAATTATTAATATAAATATTTACTTTTACGTACGACAGCGATTTCAAGACACTTTGAAAATAAAGTTTTATCACCTCGCCACAAAGCATCTTATCAGTTCTAAACCGACATTGTTTACAATATGTTTATACGCCAATTTGTGAACCTTTGTAGTTGTTTTCAGTTTTTAATGTAACAAAAATTGCACAGTATTAATGCACTAAGTACACTAAGTACTTGTTGTTAGTTTTTTCTTTGCAAGTTTCGGCCTGTGGTACCTATGTAGCGGTTTATCAAAGAAAACTGTATTAAATGGTAAGTACGGAGTATTAGTAGTATTAGTAAACCATTGTTTACTTGTTCATGAAAAATTAAAGCAAAAAACTCGTCCTTTTCCTTTGTTATAAAAGTGAAATTATTTAATGCTAAATGTTTGGATTACACTTTAATCAAATTCCGTGTCAGTCAACATCGTCCACCAGTATTGTGTACTTTTTCTTCGTTATAAATTATAAACAAATAACATAAAACACAAGGTTCTGTCAGCAAGAACAAATTGTTCTTTTATGTAAGAATACCCATAAATATAAAAATTTAATTCTAAATTTTACTATTATCCTTTCCACTTTATCTATTTGAAAAATATTAAATCCTAAAAAACTTAAATCCACTTTACTTTGATCTAATATTAATGCTTACGGTGGTATGACAGTCAATTTTATACTAACACTATAAAAAAAATTAATTATTTGGTTTTCGCTATTTTTAATAACAAAATTTTGAAGTGCATGCTGTAGGTAAAACAACAAATATATTAATCAAGTTAAAAACTCAGTTTCAGCATTACAGAAACTTTAGTTAATTAGTTTAATTTAGTTTCTAAGCCTTTTGTCAATAATTTAGTTTAAATTTAGCTTCCCCTCCCTTTTCTTCCTCAATTTAACGTTACGTACATAATAGTAAGTGATTGCGCTCTAATTTGTATTCCAATTATATAAATACCTACGTGTTTTTAATATGCCTCGAATTTTAAGTGGCTTATCAAGTTCAGTTTTCCATCTTCCGTGAAACAAAATACGTATCATACAATTATTTACATTTTAATTATCGCCTCATTTTGCCAATCCTACTTAACTAAGGGGTGTTAATTATTCATCATCATGATATCACATAATGGGTGAGGGTTTAAACAATTCGTACGCTAAATTAGGACAAATACAATAATTCAGGGTTAAAAACATTATTTATAAATTTATTATCCTTGT